TATTTATCCCACCCCTGATATCCAATGTGTTATTGATGATCTGATTTGTTGATGTACACATGTTTGAAAAGCCACTGCTAGAAAGTAGAAATGTTATCAATGTGTCCCTAAAACCATAAATATACAAAGGAATAGTGTTTTTTTCTGCAAATGAGATGCCCTAAGAAGCTTTGACACCCACACACATAATTTTGAAGTATATTTATGGCGACAAAAAGCTGGGAAATGGATACATGGCGTACATAAGAATCTAATTTATTATTTAAGGGTGGCAGTCGTTGTGTTGCATCCTGTTCGATATGGGACTCATAGCGACATATACAATGCGCGTAAAATACATTTATTTACATGAAATTCAAAAATCTGCTGCACGACGACCACCCTACTTTAAAAGCCATTATCCTTGCCATAGATTCATAACTAATAAAATATACTAACACTGACAACACACAGCCTACACTGAACATATAAAAAGTTGAGGTACTCCACCTTGTTCACTTGTCAACTCTTTGCTGCAACATTTTTAATTTTGAACCAAATAGACATAATTTTCCAGTTCCTACTGGTGTTTTGAAGTCTCTGTCAAAGTTGATAGTAATGTTCAAAAGGATCAACATATAATCTTACCTTGATATTGTTTCAAGGCACAGAATGTTGCCGATCTTTGTAGATAATATTTGATGTTCTTTGCGTCAATTTCAATAGCTTTATTAAATGATTCCTAATGAAGTAAATATAACTGAGATTAATATTAAGTTTGTAGAAATTGTAAATTTTAGCCACAAGGAAAGTCTTCACAATCGATATTTTTTTTTTTTGAAGACTGAATATGACTTTAATATGTACCCAGTGATACAATGTGGTAATAACGTTTATTACACCATAATGAGAAAAACAGATTGTTGTCATTGTCATCATTTACAATGTAGTATAGATACAATAGATTGGCTGTTATGGCGTTGAAGTCACCTTGGAGTAATATGGATCCTTTTTGTTTATATTGGTTTATCTCTTGATTTAGAATCTGGTAAGGGTCTGTCTCTTGTGTGTCATAATATGAAGAACCTGATGGGGGTATGTAGACATTGCATAGGTATATGTCATTTTGTTGATTGAAGAAATCCTTGTTCAGTCTGCACCACACTGTATATTCATTTGTTGATGGTAGTATTGATACACCTTTTTTAATTGTATTCTTTATATAAACACTTATCCCACCTGAACTTTTCCATGCTTTCAATTTATAAGGGATGAAATATTCTTTAGGTGTAGGTAAAAGGTCTGTTGTAGTGCTATCTAAACCATGTCTCAGTGAAACAGTATATATGGTAATTATGTATTTGGTCTTCTATGTCAATGAGTTCTTTTGTTTTCACATCTCTGTTTGGTGGTTCTGGTATGTAGTTATATCGTAGTCCCTGTGCATTGATGTGTCCGATTTGAAGTAGGTTTTGTGCTGCTTTATTCTTTTTATTTATCCCCATAATGTTAATATGTATATTTAATATTGTTTGTTGTTTACTGGTTAGAAGTCTTTCAGTTGTTTTTCCAAGTTTTTGATAGATGTGATCAATTCTATTGGTGTTTGTTGTTGTTCTCACCAGCTTTCTTGGTGCATGTACGAGTTGTTCTCATGTGGGAATCTGTTGTTTTAATTGTATATAGTGTGGACGACTTTCAGTATTTCCTCTTACAACTAAAGAGTACTTTCTGTGGTTGTCTCTGTAGCTGTTCCTGAATCTTTTGGTTGGACGGGTTGAGAGTGGGAATTGGTAGGTAGCACCTCTTCTGGTTGGACGGGCTGCGAGTGGGAATTGGTAGGTAGCACCTCTTCTGGTTGGACGGGCTGAGAGTGGGAATTGGTAGGTAGCACCTCTTCTGGTTGGACGGGTTGAGAGTGGGAATTGGTAGGTAGCACCTCTTCTGGTCGGACGGGTTGAGAGTGGGAATTGGTAGGTAGTACCTCTTCTGGTTGGACGGGCTGAGAGTGGGAATTGGTAGGTAACACCTCGTCTGGTTGGACGGGTTGAGAGTGGGAATTGGTAGGTAGTACCTCTTCTGGTTGGACGGGTTGAGAGTGGGAATTGGTAGGTAGTACCTCTTTTGGTTGGATGGGCTAAGAGTGGGAATTGGTTCATGACTGCAGATTTGATGTTGTTGATGAATATTTGGGTTCCATAAGATCTGTTAAGGTGGACACCATCTGTATGAAGGTGATTGGGACCTATATTGTTCATGGTGATTAATTCTGTGTATATTAGCAACACAGTACTGTAATGATTGATTTAGTTGTTTCATAGTGGTCAGTTTACAGTCTTCTTTCCATGATTTCCTGAGAAATACTTCACAGAGATATACAACAATATTTGGTAGGACATGTTGCAATAATAATAATAATAATAATGCCTTTATTGAGATCATATCCTGTTCAGGATCTGGATTTTTAAAATACAATAAAGTTTCAAATACATACAGAATGGCAAGACGACAAATACAAATGAAGACATAGTGAAAACATAATAAAATAAAATAAAAACGGAGAACAAGGAATGGTTAGAAACACAAAACAGAAAAGGTATCTTAATAAGTTATATTAATTATAAAGCAGCTGGTATTTTCTGTTTATGAGTGTCATTTCTTAAATTGAAGCACTCAAAGATATATTTTGCCAAATGAATTAGTGATTGTTTATCTTTTGTTTTTAGAATGTCTACAGTGTTTTCAATATCAGATTTGTTCATTGTTGTAATGACCTTTGTGGTATGGAGGAACGTGTTTCTTAAATCAGCATAGAGAGAACATTTTAATAGAAAATAGCTTTCATCTTCTATTTGTTTTTCCTGACAGTAGTGGCATTCTCTCTCTTCTTCTGTTTCCTGCCTCAATCTGCAATGTGTGCACACTGATCCTTAGCTTATTAGTTAGAGCAGATATGTGCGATGGGTTTTTAACATCTTCCGAATATTTTTCAAAATCAAAATTATGTTTTATCATTCTATAAGTTCTTAATTTATTTTTGCGATTTTTACCTTTGTTATCATTATATAGTAATGTCTTTTTTAAATGATTTTTAAACATTGATTTTAGATTGCTCTTAAGGGATGTAATGATTGTCTGTTTTTTATCCGCTGTCACAGTATCCAACATATGGTGCATGTTTGTAATATTAAATATGTTTTTAGCGTGGGACACCCAATTTTTTATCCCCTTTGAGTCCATATCTTTACCTAGTCTGAAGGCCTCATAGATTAAAGTGTTACATGGTTTGTCAGAAATTCTGAGTCAAAATTTTATTGTCTGTACAATGCTTGAGAAGGCAAGAGGATATCTTCCTAATTCCAGAAGGCAAGTTATATTTGTTGCTTTGCAGTTAACTTTTAACGGAAATTTGCAAAATTTGCAAAATTTACTGTGTAAATTAAAGTTGGACAGATTTTTATATTAATATTTTCATTTGACCATATTTCACAGCAGTACAGCAACACTGGATTAATTACAGAGTCAAACATTTTGAGATATATTTTAATTGGAATGTTTGTTTCGGAAAGTAATTGTTGATTTAACTTGAAACATGCTTTCATAGCTCTGTTTGTGAGATTTTCCTGAGCTTTATAAAATTTACTTGAAGCACTCAGTTTGATGCCTAGGTATGAGTAATAATAATAATTATCGTTATTGCGTTCGTATCCCTATTAGGATTTTGACTAAAATGCAATACAGATGTGAATAAAGACAAACAATTAAAGTGAGAATAAAAATACACACAGGAAAATAAATAAAAAACAACTAGCAAATAAAAGTAGAAAAAAAAATAATGGTAAAGTAAATTGGATTGTTTTCCACATTTGTGTTGGTGAATGTTTAGATTAGTATTGCATGTAGGGACATTTTCTAGTTCTTGTTTGTCAATGCAAAATTTGTGTTTTTTGATGTGTTTACCCATTTTATTAAATAGCATGATTTTCGATTTTGTAGTATCGATTTCTAATTTCTATTTTTTGCAGTAGGTTCCTAAGGAGTGTAAAGCATTTTGCAGCCCGGATTCAGAAACAGCCAGCAAAAGCAGGTCATCTGTATATAAAAGGGTTGAATGATATTATATATAATGCATATAAAAGGGTTGAATGATATTGAATGATATAATGCATATAAAAGGGTTGAATGATATTATATATAATGCTGCTGATATGTCCCTTAAAACTTGCTCTAATAGGTTAGTTAGTCATAAGCAAAGACCAAAGAAAAAAACAAATGAAAAATGGTTTGATAAACCTTGTTATATAATGAAAAGAGAATTTCAGGGAATGAGTAAGTTGTTAGTTAAACACCCAAGAGACCCATATGTTAGAGCTAGGTTTTTTCAGCTAAAAAAGGAGTTTAAAAATTAATTAAATTTAAAAGAAGATCATATAAGGAAGCACTTCTAAATGAGTTGAACCAGAGTGAAAAGAAAGATCCGGCAAAATAACAGAATTAAAGACTAGTAGTTCATTACCAACTAACAATGGTATTAGTAATAGTATTAGTGTAGATGCATGGATCAAACATTTCTCAAATCTGAATAAGGACTCATCATTGGATGCAGATATAAGGAATCTAGAAAATATAGACATTAATGTAAAGTTAAATAAAGAAATTACATCAGATGAAATTACAAAGGCAATTAGACAGCTGAAAAAGAAAAAATCACCAGGCAAAGATAAAATATTAAATGAAATGATTATCTATGGACAAACAGTATTAAATACACCTATCAAGAAACTATTCAATATCATTTTAAATACAGATAAATTTCCAGATAATTGGCGAAGTAGCCTAATAATCCAAGTAATTATAAAGGAATAGCACTGTCAAGTTGTTTGTCAAAACTATTTACATCTGTGATTAATTGTAGACTTCATATACATGTTGAGCAAAATAACATTTTAAATCCATGTCAGGCTGGTTTCAGGCCAGGTTATAAAACAACAGATAACATGTTCATTCTTAAAACAA